GAAGGATGTTATACTTAGAGGAAAGGAGTGAGGGTATGAGGTTAAACTAACTTAGCACCTTTGGAGAACTCTAAGCAATAGACTGGTAATTTATGGAAGAATATATAGACTCAACCTCCTATCTGTATTTAGATAGTTACCCTATGTATAGATAGCAAAAGTTAGGAGATTGAAAGTGGGATAGAGGGAATATGAATGAAGAAAAGAAAAAAATAACAAGGAAGAAAAGAGAAATAAGAGAGAAGGAAAAGGAAAGTAAGATAGAAATAAAGAAAAAAAATGGGGGGAAGGTGGGGTATATACAATTCCTCTATATTATATTACTTTGGTAATTCGGTTGTTCATGCACAGTTCTTGGTTTCACTTGTGTTGAAATTGTGGAAGAGAGAGAAGAAAAGAGAAAAAGAGAAAAAAAAAGTCTCTCAGAACACTGTTTTCCTTGCTTCCAGTAGGTGGCATTGTCTGTTCCTAGCTTGAGTCTCTGTTTTCAGGGTGGTGGGTATAGCCAGTGTGAAAGGACATGAGTTTCCACCCGTATCTTCCCTACTCTAGTCTCTGAGGTAGAAAGCAGGTGCCTGTACAGTTGTTGCTTTGCGTTGATAGCTACAACCCCCAAAAGCTTGTGGGAAATATTTTGAGTTGTCGCAGCTAAGGGTTGGGGAGTTGGAAACCGTGTACCTGGATCAGCCGCAGAACCTTGCTGGTAGCCACACCCTCTTTGATGGGGTTAAGGGTTGATAGGCTTCCTCTGGACTAGCAGGCGGGTTGGGGCCAGGCTTTCTCCTCCCATCTGGGCTGGGCTGGTGCCGGGCTCGATATATATCTATTAAGTGTCTCATATAGATACATAAGATTATATTTCTTTCTTTTTAAAACACTTTACCAGAGTAGAAAGAATAATATAACAAATTCCCATGCACTCAACACCCAACAGTTATTAGTTTTTTTTTAAAGAAAAAGTGCTATTTATTTGTTTTAAGAAACAGGGTTTTTTATATTTGATTGGTTGATTATTTATATTATGATCTTTAAATCTATAAATTAATTGTTAGGTCTAGAGGCTTAACTAAATTCAGGTTCAGTTTTATTTGGCATGTGTAACTCACAATGATATTATGTATTTTCTGTTGCATCATATTGGGGGCATATAAAGTCTGCTTATGTATTATTAATGGGTATAGTAGTAATGTTGATCCTTATTATAGAGTTTCTCAGCAACTTAAAATGATTTTAGCAGCCATTTCTGTATTATTTTTTAATCAGAATAGGAAGTTAAAAAATAGCTAATTTTTTTATGCTTTCAGATTTGTTTCTGTCAATAATAAGTCACATCATCTATTAACTAATATAAGAATTTCATTTAATGATTCAGAATTGACTAACGAACTTGTTTATACACCAACTAATTTGAAATTTAATGTGAATTTGATTAAAATAAAAAATGTCTTTTTTAAGGTAGTCAAATAATTTTTGTACCTTCTATAAAAAATTCAGACTTATTTAAGAAAGTACTTTTTTTTAAACAATGAAGTAGGATCGGAGTATATTAGAAGGAATTTTGTTTTGCTAAAGATTACATATTCATGAAACATTGTTATGAAAGATTATATAATGGTTAATTGAGCAAAATGAATAAGCACAATCATGAAGCAAAGCAAATGGACTCTAAGGATATTGGGAAGCAGGAGAATAGAATTGATGAAATGTTCAAAGAAGACGTGAAAAGTACTGGTAAGGGCTCTGGTTGTGACTCAGTAGTAGAATGCTTGCCTGGCATGTGGAAGGCACTGGTTTGGATCCTTGGCACCACATAAAAAAATAAACAAAATAAAGGTATTGTGTTTATAACTAAAAATTTTAAAAAATTCTAAAAAAAAAGAAAAGTACTGGGCATGTTCCCCCTCCCCCTTAGACTGAGTAATAATTGTGTGGGTATCAATTTCTTGTTTTTATTCTTTATATTACACATGTTGAACCTTGGCCTCAAGCATTTGCTCTACCACTGAACTACATTCTAGCCCCTACGTATGTTACATTTTTATAATCTATAATATATTTTAAACTTTAAAGGAATAAATGGTTTCACTAACAATTTAAAGGGTTTCTCAAATGACTCATTAGATCTTAAACATAAAACATTTTATTTCTACAAAAGTATTATTAAATAACTAGTTTACAAAATAACTTTGTTTTTCACTTTTTCATCCCTTCCCTTTTTCCTTTTCTTGTAGTATTGGTAATTGAATTCAGGGGTGCTCTACCACTATACTACATCCTCAGATCTTATTATTTTTTATTTTGAGACTGGGTTTCATTAAGTTGCCCAAGCTGGCCTTGAACTTGTGATTCTCAACTGCTGGGATTAACAGGCATGGCCAGCCATGTGCCTAGCCCAAACTATATCTTTAGTACTAAGCAACAAAGAAAGGTCATTATATATTTTATTTAAAATAATAATATGCTTTGGATGGTAATTCAGTGGTTGGATACTTGCCTAGCATGTGAGAAGCTCTGGGTTTGATTCCCAGCATGTAGAAAAAAAGTAATGGTTTGTTTTTAAGTTTAGGCAAGTTTGCTGATTATATCAAAATGGAGAAAAGTAGCCTGAATTGTGTGTATACATACAGCCACCTACTGTAGACCGATATACTTGAGAATGCCCAAGTTTGGTGCTTGCTATAAATCATTTTTTGTGTACTAGATTCTAGGGCCATAAGTAATGGCAACTCTTGTGTGTTTGTGCTTGTATTTTAATTAAGTAAGTTTAAGAATCAGTTTGTTTGCATGGGGAGCATGTAGATGATGTCTGATAAAAATATTAATTACGGTGTTGAAATTTTTGTAGGGACCCTGTTTTACTTTTGCTGGCCTGCTTATTTGTGTCAGATGAGGGATACTGCTGCAGAAGAAAGCATCTCAATTTCTTTTTTAACATTGCTACTGAGGTTCTTTTAGTACTTTGTGCTTGTCAGTTTTTTAGCTAACCAGAGAGCAGGTTCATCATAAATCAGTTTGGATGTTTTGTCAAAGATTTAAGTTTTCATATTGAGTAATTGGCTTAAAAGAATATACTGTTCTTGGGCTGAGGTTGTGACTCAGTGGTAGAGAGCTTGCCTAGCATGTGGGAGGCATATAAATAAATAAAAGAAGAGGAATATACTGTTCTTAAAAGAAGCGTTTTAAGAAGGTAAAAATCTTGAATTTTTTATCAGATTATTTTCTGATAATTTATTACTGTAATCACTAAGCCTCTGACTTAAAATTTCTACATCAGTTAGGGAATTATCTTCTAATTACGGAAAAATGTTTTTAATAATTATCTTGATAGAAGCGACATATTTAGAAAATAAGTATTTTTTATGATCATGTTACACAGTTGATAGGGGAAACAATTTTCAAGATTTAAATATAACAACTAAAAGAATTAATTTCTTTTCACCCCTTTTAAAAAGTTTTTTTCTCCAAAACTTTGGTTAGGTAACGGAAATCCAAGACTGGAGTGCATCAAGCCCACATAGTGCAGCGTATGTTCTCTGGGATAATGGTGCTAAGAACCTCTACAGAGTTGGCTTTGAGGGCATGGTAAGTAGTAAAGTTACACAACAAATTAAATTTAGAAGAGTGAAAGAAGGGAAATAGTAGTCCTTGTGCTTCTTTCTCATTCCCTTCTGTTGTAATATGGTCAGGTGATTCATGAATACACAATAAGAAGGAATTCTGTAAAGTGAGAATTTAATAAATTTGCAAGACCTTTGCATTTTTACTGTTTGTCTAAACTACTGAATAGTAAATATGATGTTTGCCCTCAGTTTGGGTACCTGACTATATTAATCATGTAGATTGATCCCTTTTTAATGTAAATTTATGGGTATTTACTAAAATTTATCAGAAAGATATTTTTCTTGCATTTTGGAGATTGATATAGAAATGATTTAAAATAATCTGTAAAACGAATCCTTGGCATAGACCTGGAAAACAGTATTAGAATGAAGTTTTATAGTATATTTGTATTCTGTGATCTGGTAGCTGATAAAAATATTAATTACGGCGTTGAAATTATTTTTAAGAATTTTTTCCTGTATTTTTAGAAAGTATAGAGTTGACAATTAAAAACAACTGAGAAACACCTAGAATTACCTAAATGCTCAGGAGAATAAGGGAGATTTATTCAGTGGATTGCCCTATAGTTCTGTAATTCATGGACCTTTGTTCATACATTGACTTAGATATTTAATTTTAAAGTGTTTAATTAATGCTGGATTTTAATATTTTTCATAGTTTTTTTTTCCTCTTTTCTTTTTGGTAGTGGGGATTGAACCCAGGGGCATGTTACCACCGAACTACAACTTGGCTATTTATTTTTTATTTTGAGGCAGGGCCTTACTAAGTTGCCCAGTCTGGCCTTGAATATGCAATCTTCCTGCCTGCCTCAGCCTATTGAGTAGTTAAGATTACAGGCATGTGCCACCAGGCCTGGCTTTTCATATCCTTTTTAATTTTGAATGCATTTCCCTTCAAAGAATTTTTTTTTTTTTTTTTTTTTGTGGTGCTGGGGATCAAACCCAGAGTCTTATACATGCTAAGCAAGAGCATTTCTACTAAGTTATATGCGTAGCACCAAAGAATTTTTTAAATTTTATTTTTACTGCCTTGGGTTTCTCATTAGGAAATGAGAAAAATATCCATTATTCCCTTAGTATATTTTATTTGTATATAAAAGTCAGCTATGTGAATTTACACAAATACTTTATTTGCCAAGTTATGTCATTGAATATATCATCCATTTCTAGTTTTTCATTATCTCTTTACTTCTCCCAGTTTTTAAACTGTGAATTTTTGTAGGAGTCTGAGTATTAATTAGCTTCAGATGAAAACTTTGGTGCTATTTGTGCTCAGGTACTAAATAAGTAGTATTGATTGAGGACTGAGTAGTAGTTCCTTTAAAAATTATACCATTATTTATTTAATGATATTTCTATTGTTGGGTATCTTCCTCCTGCTATTGCTTTAGCAAGGTGTCAGTAAACATCCTTGTATACTTCTTTGAACATTTTGCATATGTTCCCTTAGGATAGATTCCTAGAAGTGGAATTGCTGTGTTAAAATATCTCTATGTCACTTTAGCCAGGATTGAGTGACATTTAATGATCTGGTATAAAAGAAGCTATAAGAGAGTTGAGTTGTGTGTGTGTGGGGGGGGCACAGTAGGGGGTGATATATATATAAAGGAGCTTCCGTTCTTTAATGGAATAAAATACTTATCACCTTTTCTATATGCTAGTACTATTAGGCATAAATTTGCTTCTAAATTTTCACAGTAACACCCAGGATTGCTCTTCTAAGTCCACATTTTCTATACTTATTAAATTTGCATTATAATTATACATAATAATTGAATTTATTATGCTGTATCTATTCATGCACAGTGTACTTTTTATTGTTCCTCAGGTGCATACCCATTCAGATTGCTTAATATTTTTTTTCTTATAAAAGATAAGTGGTGAGCTGGGGCTGTAGCTCAGTGGCAGAGCGCTTGCCTAGAATGCATGAAGCACTGGGTTCAATCCTCAGTACCACATAAAAATAAACAAATAAAATCAAGGCATTCTGTCCCATCTACAAAAAAAAAAAATTAAAAAAAAAGTAAGTGGTAAGGAACTTAATTCAGCTAACCAAGTTATGGTGAAGTAAGGATTAACATTGAAATAAATAGGAAAATTAAGAAGACAAAGAACCAAAGAAATGGATTTGGTATCATCTTTTCCTACTTTGTACTGCTATGTAGTTAATTGCTTCTACTTCTTGTCCTCACTTTCCTTATTTACTATATAAGTAATTGGCAGTGTCAAATGAGATACAAATTTTGGTTTGTTTTTGGTAAAAATTTCTTTAAAGTTGAACATGTTACGCACATTTCAAATACCAGGTATTTGTTAATAATTCTTATTTGGGTGAGTATTTTTGAAATACAGTGTTGATGATTCACTTTTCACTTTGATCTTTAAAATTAGAAAGCTAAAAGTTAATAAAGTATCTTGAAAGTATCTGAAGATCAAGTTTATAATTTTTGATAGGTGTTTTTGAAAGCAGTGTTCAGTGTGCTTGTTAACCAACCTAGAGCTACTCTTCTGTGGTACCTGTGGACTGAAATTTTTGTCTGTTTCAGGTATGCCATATTTTGTCTGTTTCAGGTATCACATATTTTCATAGGTGATTTTCTGTTTTTTCTTTTCCTTCTTAGTCTGACCTGAAGTGTGTTCAAGATGCCAAAGGAGGTTCTTTCTACAGAGATCATTGCCCTGTGCTAGGTGAGTTAGCAGATTAGAGAAGATTTCAAAATAATTTTTCAGAGTTCATAAAATCAGAAGTTAGACTTTAAGAAAATTAATTTCCATTACAGATACTTAGAAAAACACTTCTTTAGTTTTATTTTAGTTTTAAAGCATTTGTTCATTTTTTAAATGATTTCTGTAGGCCCAGAAAAAGTTGTCATGTCTTGAGAACTGATATTCTGTTTATGTCATAATTTATATTTGAAAAATTTATCTTTTAATTATAAATTTATATCATTGAAAATCTTTGCATTAGATTGCATCAATGTTTTATCTTGTGCTCTGTTGAGAATAGAATTTGATGAATAGAATAGAATTTAGTGATTATAAATTCCTTACACAGTTTCTGTAAAAGTCTTGTATTAAGAGTTGCTCTATGGGCTGGGGTTGTAGCTCAGTGGTGGAATGCTTGCCTTACATGTGTGAGGCACTGGGTTCAATTCTCAGCATCAAATAAAAATAAATAAAATAAAGGTATTGTATCCATCTACAACTAAAAAAAAAAAAAACGGAGTTGCTCCAAGATTAATACAGTAAATATAATGTCATGTGTCACTAAAATTTGAAAACCCAAACTACTTTTCATTTTATAGATTCTTTAGTGTTACCAGAATTGACATTTACAGTTCTCATCTTATTAAATATTTAGTCTCTGAATGCTTTCCTTTCTCATTTGAACTATATTTTCCTCTTTCCAAACCAGTGACTTGCCTTTTTGTGAAAAAGTGCCATTTTCTTGTAGCACACCTTACATTTTTAAAAAAGGGAAAAGTAGACAAATACTTACATTTTTGTTGAGCTCATTAATTTCTTTTATTTTCAGAAACTTTTTTCTTGCCTTCAAAATAAAAAGGCAGAATCAATGTACATTTTGGTTCCCTTAGGCGTAGTGTTTTATGATCAAAATGTCTTTGAGAACTTCGAAAATCCAGGGAATGAGTTTTAAAATGTTAAAAAAAAAATGTTCTTTAGGCAAAAATCATAAGATCTCCTTGTTCAAAAAATAATACTAAGCATTTCAGAGGAAAAAAACCAAAAACAAACCCAGGTTTTTTTTATTTATTTATTTTTTATTTTTTTAAATTTTCTGGGTACTTTTGCTTTGGTGCAGTGATAGTCAATAAGTCATCCAGGCAGAAAAGTGAATATTTTCAACACCCAGAATGTTGTGTTCTGATATAGGTGATATAGCCCTTTTATAGAGTCTACTCTTGCTCGTTTACCTGTTAGTAAGCCATCACATTACAATTTTTTGTTTGTTCATTTTTATGGTGCTGGGACTGTGCATGCTAGGCAAGTGCTCTGCTTTGGAGTTACTTTCCTTTCCTAAATTATTAGTTTTTGAAGTCTGATGTTTGTTTCTTTTCTTTCTGTTTTTAAAACTCCTGGTTCTAGAATCTCATACTTACAGTGAATTTTTAAAACATCTTAAGATTAGATGAAATTTAGAACTGAAATATCTAGATGTTTTTCTTGTTTAAAAGTAATGCAGTTGTGGCTGGGCACAGTTACACCTGTAATTCCAGTGTCTTGGGAGGCTGAGGCAGGAGGATTGCGAGTTCAAAGCCAACCTCAGCAAAATCAAGGCACTAAGCAACTCAACGAGACCCTGTCTCTAAATAAAATATGGCTGGGGATGTGGCTGAGTCGTTAAGTGCCCCTGAGTTCAATCCCTGGTACTCCCCACCCCCTAAAAAAACGTAATGCAGTTGTGAGGGAGTTTGGCTATGGGTATAAAATTAAGAGTTACGAATATGTTCTAGTGTTCTGTAGCACAGTAGGGTGATTATAGTTGATAATTTGTTGTATATTTCAAAATAGCTAGAAGAGAGAATTTTGAATCATCTTACCACAGAAAAAGGATAAATGTTTAGGTTGATGTGTATGTTGATTACCCTGATTTGATCATCACACATCCTATCTATCTATCTATCTATCTATCTATCTATCTATCTATCTATCTATCTATCTATATGTATATGTACAGTTACTTTGTATCAGAAATAAAATACTTATTCCATAAAATAAAAGATTGTAAGGAAATAATAAGACTAATATGTTGGCCAACAAATGGATAAAGTAGTTCAAATGGACAGATTTCTAGAAAGAAAAAAACTACCAAGTGATTAAAGAAAAAAAAGTTGGAATAGAGCTATAGCAAGAGATTGAATTAGTAATCACATACATACAAAATGCAGTTGCATAGTGTTGAATTTCTTTTCCCCTTTTCTTTTTTAAATTACCTCTGAAATTATAGGTGAGCAGAATGGCAACAGGAATCCTGGAGGATTGCAGATTGGTGACCTGGTGAATATAGATCTTGACCTAGAAATTGTACAGTCTTTGCAACATGGTCATGGAGGATGGACTGATGGAATGTTTGAGACTTTAACTACAACTGGAACTGTTTGTGGCATTGATGAAGACCATGACATTGTAGTACAGTATCCAAGTGGCAATAGGTTAGTAATATTTCTCAATTTTTGATAATGACAAAGTTAGTATGTACAGAAAAAGAAGAAAGCAAATAATGTGCTGTAGTCAAAGACTTGTTAACAACTAGCTCTTAGGTGGGAGATTAAAATGCAGAGTATGTTGGTGAGGCAGAGAGAAACAAGCAAGAGGTCTGTGTAAAGTATGTGAATTTACATATTTATGATATAAAATTCTATATATTTTTAATTTTTCCTTCAGGAGTAGAATATATTATATCAGCAACAGGTCCCAGTTCATAATGGACTGTATCATCTACAATGAATGAGAGAAGTAACATCACAAATCCTTTGGCCCTCTAGGGTCATCTCTTGCTAGTGCAGCCCTTCCTTGTTTTAGACATGGACGCATGCACTGTCTTATTAGCAATGTAAAGTCGCATGTATTTCCTCACTTTTGCACCTTTTTATGTGCTGCTTCATCTATGTGGATTTAATTCTCCTGCAGCCTATGACTATTGAGTTAATATGTTTTTATTATCTCTCCTCTTTCACCCTCCCTGATATTTAGATTTCTTATTGTCTATTTAATTTTTTTTTCTTTAAAATTTGATTTCCTGGAGTTTCTTTGAGTCTGGACCTATGCCTTTTATTTTGGCCTTGGGGGCCAAAATGTATCCCGTTTACTAGTATATTGTATTTTAAAGTAAAAGCAGTAGTTGCATTGAATAATTGTCTTACTGACAGAATAAAACAAATTAACATTAAGTTGCTTAAGTATGGAATTAGCTCTGATTGTGTCAAAATCTTAAAGGCATGTGGAATCATCAATAGATGCAGAAAACTTGTATGACAAAACTCTTTAATAGTCTTTGTTACTAAAAACACTAAACATATTAGGGACAAAATGGAATTTCTTTGGCTATATTAAAGGGCCTGATAAAGGGCATCTAGAAAAAAATCCATGGATAAAATCATACTTAATGGTGAAAGATTGAATACTCCCCCCCCTTTTCCTCTTATATTTAACATTATACTTGAGGTTCTAATGAGGGCAGTTAGATAGGAACAGAATTAAAAGGATGAAGCTAAAGACAGGAAGATGTAAAACTGTTTACAGGTGATGAGATCTTGTTTGTAGAAAAATCTAAAGAATTTGGGTGTGATGGCACATACCAGTAATCCCAAGGAGCTGAAGGCTGAGTTGGGAGGATCACAAATTAAAGACCAACCTTGGCAATTTTGTTCTTACCTTAAAAAGGGCTGGAGATGTAGCTCAGCAGGAACAAGCATCCCAGGGTTCAATCCCCAGTACAACAAAACCAAACAACAAAAACAACAAACTAAGGAAATTACAGTAACAAAAAAAAAAAAAAAGAAGAAGCAACAAAAAAATATTGATAAGCAGCTGCTGGGCCTGGGACCTCCAGCACCATGGTGTTGGAGAAGACCTTTAAGCAGCGCCGCACCTTCTAACAAAGAGCAGAAGACATGCAACTCATCTGAGAGCAGCATCCCACCAAGATACAATGGTGAGAAGCAGCTGCCTAGCCTGGTCAAGACCAAGTTCCTTGTGCCTGACCATGTCAACATGAGCGAGCTCATCAAGATAATCAGAAGGCTCTTGCAGCTAAACACAAACCAGATCTTCTTCCTCTTGGTGATGTTGAGTTTCTTGGGAGTGTGGACATGTGGCAAATCCAGTACTACTCCATCTTAACTTGATTTCATCTGCAAAAGACCCTACTTACAAATAAGGTCACATCAATAGTTACTAGGATTAGGATTTCAATATATATTTTGGGGGCAGGAGGAATAATTCAAGCCACAACCGATGGTAGTATTTCCATAAGTAATATACAAATTTAAAATAATCTCTATCAAGATTCTGTTGCCTTTTTTTTCTTGCAGAGATTTGGCAGACGGATACTAAAATTAATAAGAAAATTCAAGGAATCCAGAATAACCAAAAAACTAAGTTGGAGATCTCATGTGTCCCAGTTTTAAAAATTAAAAACATATCTAAGATAGTGTGTTAGTGATAAATGTTGAATATACAGATTGATGGAATAGAGAATCCAGAAATAAACCTTTGCAGTTAAGTTAGTTGATTTTTTTTTTTTTTTAGGTAGTACTGGAGATCAAACCTTAGGGCCTCATGCCGGTGAGGCAAGTGCTGTACCATTGAGCTGCATCTCCAGCAGGTCTCTTGATTTTGGGCCAGTGTTAAGATAATTCAGTGGGGGGGGTGTGGTTGTGGCTCAGAGGTAGAGAGCTCATCTCTCACATGTGAGGCTCTGATAAGATCCTTAGCACCACATTAAAAAAAAAAAATAAAGGTATTGTGTTCAACTACAACTAAAAAATAAATAAATTTTTTTTTAAATGAGTTCAGTGGGGGAAAGAATATTTTTTTTTTTTCAACAAATGGTGCTAGAACAAATGGATGTCTGCATGGCGAAAGAATGACACTGGATCCCGGCCACATACCGTATACAAGTTATTAAGTAAAAATTAATCATAGAGGGCTCGAGACGTAGTTCAATGGTAGGGTACCTTCCTGGCATGCATGAAATCCTGGATTTGATCCCCATCACTGAAAAATAAATTTGATTGTATATCTTAGTGTAATGCTAAATCTATAAAAGTCTTTTATAGTCCATTATAGGTGTGAATCTTCATGACTTTGGATTAGACAATAGTTTTATAACTGTGACCCAAAAAGCAGAAGCAACCAAAGAAAAAATAGATATATTGGGCTTTAAAATTGAAAACTTTGATGTTTCAAAGGAGACTATCAGAAATAAAAACGGTTGAGATATATAGCTCGGGGCTGGGGATGTGGCTCAAGCGGTAGCGCACTCGCCTGGCATGCATGTGGCCCATGTTCGATCCTCAGCACCACATACAAACAAAGATGTTGTGTCTGCTGATAACTAAAAAATAAATATTAAAAGTTCTCTCTCTCTCCCTCTCTTAAAAAACTTAAAAAAAAAAAAGAAATATATAGCTCGGGGGTAGAGTGCTTGCCTAGCATGCATGATCCTCAGCACTAGGAAAAAAAAAGTGTAAAAACTCATGAAATGGGAGAAAATGTTTATATATTATGACTATTAAGGGGCTTGTATATAGAATATAAAAAATTCTTAAAATTCAACAATAGGGGCTGGGGATGTGGCTCAAGTAATAGCGCACTTGCCTGGCATGCATGCGGCCCAGGTTTGATCCTCAGCACCACATACAAACAAAGATGTTGTGTCCACCGAAAACTAAAAAATAAATATTAAAATTCCCTCTCTCTCTCTCTTTCTCTCTCAAAAAACAAATTCAACAATAAAAGACAACCCAGTTGAAAAGTGAGCAGAGAAAGGATTTGAATAGCCATTTTTTTCCAAAGAAGCTATAGAAGATGACCAGTAAATTCACTGTATTAGTTGACTAGGGCTACTATAAAAAAATACTTCAGACTAGTGTCTTTATCAACAGAGATTTATTTTCTTAAACTTCTGGAGGCTAGAAGTCAAGAGATAAGAGTGTTTTCAGGGTTGGTTTCTGGTGAGTTCTTATCCCTGGCTTGTAGGTGACTACCTTCTTACTGTGTCTTCATTGGTCTTTCCTCTCTGTGTGATTAAAGAGAGATTTCTGGTGTCTCTTAATTTTATAAGGATACCAGTTCTATCAGATTAGGGTCTTACCCATATTACTTCGTTTAACTTTTATTACCTCCCTCATGGCCCTTTCTCCAAATAGTTATATCAGGGGTGACGCTTTACTATATTAATTATGTAGGAACATAGATCTGTCCAGAGTACTCATGAAAAGATGCTTGTTATTCGGGAAATACAAATAGAAAGCCACAGTGAGATACTGCTTCACATACTAGTATATTATTAGGGAAGTACAGCTCAACACCACAAAGAGGGGGTTTGATCTGCAGCCACCTGGGAGAAGAAGGATGCCCCAGAAGCGTCCTGGCTCTCACAGCAGGTACAATGCTTCAGTACATCTGTGGTCAGACCATTTACCAAACTTGTGAAGGCCACCTGTTCAGATACATAGCATTGAAGGTCACTATGCCACTGCTTTTATTCTGCTGCATCTAAACAGAATTAACTGGAACAAGTAGAAAAGCAGTTGTTGAGAGTAGCACAACTCCTGAAGGAACCCAAAGTGGCTGCTTCTATTCTAAATCCTTATAGTAAGCATTCCATCAAAATGAAAAGTCTAAATGACATGACAGCAAAAAAGTTTTTTTTCGCATTATATCTAACCTGTAAACTTGCTTGCTGAAATGGTCTCCTAAACAATACCCTTGCCATCATTTCTGCCTTTTCTACAATTATGAGTGTGCACCATGGAGAAGTACCTTCTACAGTGACCACCATATCTCCTTTAGTGGAAGCTAATCCTTCTGAGTTAAAGACAGTCCTGAAGAGCTTCCTAAGTCAAGGCCAAGTATTGAAATTGGAGGTTAAGATTGATCCAGCATTTATGAGTGGGATAATTGTCCATATTGGAGATAAATATGTTGATATGTCTGTAAAAACCAAGATTCAGGAGCTAATCTGCGCTTTGTGGGAGAGTATCTAAAACTGTTAATTTCCTGTCATCAGTGAAAATTCTTAAACATGGAACAACAATGTTTTAATACTCTCTTCCTGAAGATGACTGTTGATAGAATTATTATTCATAAAATTATTACTCATAAATTATTTTTCATAAAATTATTATTCATATAAGTAGAAACAACTCAGATGCTTATTAACTGATGAATGGGTAAACAAAGTGTGATATAGATGTACAGTACAATATTGTTTGTTCATAAACTGGAATAAAATACAGGGATACTGCAATATAGATGAATATTAAAAATGTGCTAGGGGAAGAAGTCAGCCAGAAAAATAATTCGCATAGTGTGATTTTATTTCTATTAAATGTCCAAAATAAGCAAAACCAAAAAAACAAAGTAAATTACTAGTTTTTTAAGGGCTGGTTGAAGGATAATTGCAGAGTGACTGCTAATAGTTATGGGATATCTTTATGAGGTGATGAAAATGAAATTTGATAGAGGTAATGGTTGTACAACTTTTATACTAAAAATAACTGCATGACACTTTAAATGAGTGAATTGTTTGCTATATGAATTATATCTCAATAATTTTTTTTAAAAAGAAAGAAAAATCTTAAGGACACAATGTAAGTTCCATTTAGTATTCACTCATACTTTTTGTGTTAAATATTCTCTTGTTTGGAAATATTACACAAATTAGTATTAGTTGCAGAATTCATTCTTGTTCAAAATTCTTTCTTGGACAGTACAATATTAACAGTAATTTGGCATGTGAGTTCCAGAAAAATAATCATTTTGTTCCTTTTTCAGCAAAATTGAGTACTTTTTCTGTATTAGACCCTGTGATTAGTAGGATTACAAAGACAAGACATGGTTTCCTGCTTTGAAGGTTTTCCCCTTCGAAGTGTTCAAATAGACAAACTGGAAATAACTATAATAAAATGATACAAATAATATAGGTAGGTAAGCAGGGTATCCTGATGGCACAAAAGAAGAGAGAGAAAACTTTAGAGAGAAAACTATACTATAGATAATTTATTTTTTAAAAAAAATTTAATATATTATTTTTAGTTGTCAGTGGACCTTTATTTATTTATATGTAGTGCTGAGAATCAAACCCAGTGCCTCACACATGCTAGGCAAGTGCTCTACCACTGAGCCACAGCTCCAGCCCAAATATAGTTAATTTAAAAGATGGACCAGATTCCACTAGGACAGGGAAACACTTCAGGCAGGTTGAATCAGTACCATTTTGGAGTGCTGAGAATGAGGTGAAGAGCACTGTGGTTAAGACAAAATAAACATTTGTTTATTTCATTCTTAACTATGTGAAGGCATTTTCTCTTTGGGATTGCTTTAGTAAAAAAAGTTTACTTGTGTGATTACAGGAGCTTAGTAACTAACAGACTTATGTTGTGATCTCAGAATCTTTTGTATGCTAATAAGCAGTTGAATTAAGGAGAAATGATATGATACCAATAGTGTAGAAGCTTTTCTGATAAGGGATCTTTTTTCCTTTGGAGTTCAGTGTGGAATTAGGGAAATAGTTTTGTTATACATTGTGGCACTTCTGTTTGATGGAATATTTAATAGTCATTAAAATGATGGTTATGAAGATGGTATCAACCTCAAAAAATGCTTATGTTTGCGAAATAAGTCAAACTTAGAAGGTTAAGAGTTGTATGTTTTCTCTGATGTGGAAACTAGAAAGGAAAAGGAAAAGAAATTATGGGGCAGATCTCATGAAAATCAAAGGGAAATCAGTAGAGGAAGGGGAGCAAGAGGTAGAAGGTAGGGAATGAGGGGAAAGTGCTGGGGAGTGATACTGGCCAAATTATATTGTTACATTGTATATTGTGTGCATGTACCAATAGGTAACAACAATCCCCTGGTGCATTACAATTATAATTACAATTATAATTGTAATGCACCAGTTTAAAAAATATATATCTTTTCAATACATTATAATTTTATATTTCAAAAATACATTTTTCTGAATGTTATTCAAAGTTATATTTTATGGTCAATATATTTGTAAATAATAAATAAAAAATAAATTTGTAATTGATGACCAAAAAATGCTTGTAAAGTAAAGAAGTCAGAATCCAGATTTGTTTTAATACAGTGATTACAATTATGGAAAATACCCATGCGTGGCAAATTAAAACAAGATAGTGTTTTTATGAGATTGGCAATGTTTGGGGGAAATGGTGCAGTCTTTTGTAGTTTGGGTCTATTTTTGGTAAATGGGGATCCACCGGGGAGTGGTGGCTGGAGTTCCTGTGGGTGGGTAGCAGCTGAGTGTCCTGCATGGGAGCCAAGCGGCGTCTGGGAGTTCTGCGCTGGTGCTGATGCGTCCTGCTAAGGCACTAATGAGCCCTGCGTGGGCTAGTAGTTGGGAGTTGGGAGTCCTGCTCTAACGTTGAGGCCCAGAGCCCTGCGCAGGGCATAGCATTGGTGATTCCTGTGTGAGAGAAACTGTGTAGAGGTACTTTATCACTCTAAGAGAAGCAGTATTCCCACTAGTTGAGACCTGGAGTGACACAGAATGCTGCCTCCCTCTGGCCCACAATATTGGATCCTCCTATCTTTTGGAATTATAAAGAAATATATTTTTTAAATCAGGAAGGTTTTTTTTTGAGCATTATAGGTGTACATTGTAGTTGGATTCACATTGTAAAGTAAATATTCTAAGATGCACTGAGAAAAAAATAATAGAATGATATGTTTATGTATGTCTACAATGATCCTATTTATGGAAAATAACAGCTCTCTAGCTTTATGAATATCATTCAGCATAGTGATAGATAGAAGATCTGTAAGGATACATAATAGAGAATTAGTAATGGTTTCTAGTGGGGTAGTAATGATGATCCAGGTATGTTTGTGTGATATGGAACTTTCACTTTACATGGTTCTGAAATGTTTGAGTTTAACAATGGTCATGTATTTCATAGCAGTTTTTTTAAAAAAAATATTTATTTTTTAAGTATAGATGGACACAACACAATGTCTTTAATTTTATGTGGTGCTGAGGATCGAACCTGGATCCCGCACATGCTAAGCGAGTGCTCTTCTGGTGAGCCACAATCCCAGCCCCAATAGCAGTTTTTAAAAATATCCAGAGGGTGGTGAGATCACATATGACTCTGTTTCCAAATTTGTATAATAAAATTATAACATGAAGAAAAATTATAAAAAAGATACAGATCATTCAGAAGGTACTTGCAAAGGCTCTCTTTACTCTTGATGTGTATAAGATCTTTCTCCCTGTAGTGTTGAAGAATGTATTAAAATTAAGTAAACTTACTGGGCTGGGGCTGTAGCTAAGTGGCAGAGTGCTTTCTTAGCATGTGTGAGGCAGTGGGTTCGATCCTTAGCACCATATCAGAAATAAATAAAGTCATTCTGTCTATCTACAACTACAAAAAAAATAAATTAAAAATAAGTAAGTTTACTTATTTTGAGTTTTGGCTTTGCTTTTGTAGATGGACCTTCAATCCTGCTGTTCTCACTAAAGCAAACATTGTCCGAAGTGGGGATGCTGCACAGGGTGCAGAAGGAGGGACTTCACAGTTTCAAGTGGGTGATCTTGTGCAAGTTTGCTATGATCTGGAAAGAATTAAACTTCTACAAAGAGGACATGGTGAATGGGCTGAAGCAATGCTTCCAGTAAGTATTTAAGATAGTTTGGGGCTAGAGATTACACTTTATTTATGTAGCTTTTTAAAGTAAATTGATTTTGGAAACAAAAGAGGCATAAACCTTCTTAGAATTGTACCTCCATTGGCACGTAGAAATTAGAAATAGCACTGAGTATGGTGGCTCATGCCTGTGATCCCAGTGACTCAGGAGGCTGAGGCAAGAGGATTGCAAGTTCAAAGCAATAGTAACTTAGTGAGCAACTTATGAGACCCTGTCTAAAAAAATAAGGGCTGATTATGTGGCTCAGTGGTTAAGGGTTAAGTGCCCCTAGGTTTAATACTCAGTACCAAAAAAAAAAAAAAAAGGAGAAAACAAATTAGAAATTGTTTTCTAATTTATTTCTCTTAAATTAGCCTGAGAAGGTCCAGAAAGGGATGTGGTTGATCTTTTTTTTTTAATTTATATTTTGTGGTATTGAGGATTGAACCAAGGGATGCTCTTCTACTGAGCCTCATCTTCTACCTTATTATTTCATATTTGAGAGAGTATTTCATTAAGTTGCCAAGATTGGCCTTGAATTTGTGATCCTCCTGCCTCAGCCTCCTGAGGAGCTAATTTTACAAAAATGTACCATCACACCTGTCTTGTGTTAATATTTTTGATATAGTACAATGGGGAATGTGATATGGTGTTAGGCAGTAGAGGCTCTCCTGATACCAAGACCCTGAATGAGATAGGAATATGCTCGTTCAGTTTCCAGCAGTTCCACTGCAGCTTTCCTGCTTTTGGGACCTGTGTCTATAAGGGTCTCAAAATCTGAATCATCTGAGGTTAGCTTTCCTCTCATACAGTACAGTTTAATTTTATTATTCATTCAATACATTTTCACCAAATGCTCATTAACAACAGACAAAGGAGTGAGTAGGTCCACATAAAATGTGGCAGGGATCATGGTTGAATCCTAGTACACAATTATTATGGAGAAAAGAGAATAATTCTAAATACAATGAAAATATACTAGAAAAATGTGCACAGAAAACTGAATGTAACCAAAATCTGGTAATTCCAAATGAACTAAGAGAAATTAAGAAAATGACAAGATATAAAAAAAGAAATAATAATTAGAAATAATATGCTAAAATTTTAGGAAATGAAGAGAAAAGGTCACTTTATTTTTTATTTAAAAAAAATATATATATATAATCTTTTAGTTGTAGGTGGACACAATACCTTTATTTTATTTATTTTTATGTGGTGCTGAGGCTCAAACTCAGTGCCTCATATATGTTAGGCGAGCACTCTACCACTGAACCACAACCCCAGCCCCAAAAAGGTCATTTTAGAAATGGAGACTAATTTATTGGCAGGAACACAGAGCAAATAAATATAACAGATAATGTCTTAAGAGCAGTAGAAGGAGGACTGGGGCTGTAGCTGTAGCTCAGTGGCAGGCTCTTGCCTAGCACGTGTGAGGCACTGAGTTCGATCCTTAGCACCATATTAAAAAAAATATATGTATATAAGCAAAATAAAGGTATGCTGTCCATCTATAACTACAAAAATATTTGAAGAAAAATAGAGCAAAAGAAGGAAATAAGTAGGAAATTTAAAAAAATTTAAAGTTGTTGATGGACTTTATTTTATTTATTTATACTTGGTGCTGAGAATCGAACCCAGTGCCTCACACATGTGAAGCAAGCACTCTACCACTGAGCCACAACCCCGGCCAAGAAGTAGAAAATTTTAACAATAAAAAAGATAAAAAAAATTCCACAGAAGTGCAAACATGGAATACCCAATATAGCTATATTAATAAGCTTTTCCAAAAGGAAAACCAAAACTCAAATGGAATGAAACAAATGCTACATTTTTTCATTTTGTTTGTTTTACTTTTTGCAATGGTAGGGATTGAATGTAGGGCCTAGAGCAGGCCAGGAAAGCACTCTACTACCAAGATACATCCTCAGCCTTAAAATCTGTGATTCTAGAAGAATTCTTTTGAAATTAAGAATTTGAAACTAAACATTAGAGGGAGGGTACATTGCATACTTGGGAAAACTGATCCAGAACAATAGAATAATGAACCATATTCTGGGAAAATCTTTAAGAAAAGAAAAAATTTCTTGGACTTCTAGGCTAAAAACCAAAGTATTTGTCTTGAAGGAAAATCGTTTTGCTATTAAGAAAAAATCTGATCTTGCTGGGTGCCGTGGCACATGTCTTTAATCTCAGCTACTTTGGAAGCCAAGGCAGAAAGAGAGAACCTGTTTCACAATAAAAACAAGAAAAGGGCTGTGGATGTAGCTCAGTGGTAAAGTGCTAGTCTGGCATGTGTGAGGCCCTGGGTTCAATCCTCAGTAAAAACATATGCACACACACACACACACACA